CTGGTCCCAAGACTTATTTTTTAAAAAAATTAGCCAGAATGCAGTTTGCTCAGCAGAGAGACAGAGACAGAGACAGAGAAAGAGAGGGAGAGGTACAGGGAGATGGCATCCCCCAATGGGGTGTAGTCACACTGCAATCCCTTCTCTCTATTTCTCATCCTCTCCGGATTTGGGGCTGTTCGGCCATTTGAGTGTTAATCGACTTCTGCCTCCATAAGAGAAAGCGCATTTCATAAAGGAAGCACTCTTCCTCTCTCCCCCCTGGGGGTCTCCGTCCCAAGGATTCTGTATTCATCTGTCAGTGTACCGTTACCACATGAATGCGCGGGGCAAGGCCCCAAGTGGAGGCAGTAAGACTGCAGGTGGTCAGACCGAAAAAGCACAACTTGGACACAGGCAGGAAACGACCAATGCCAGGTACCTGGTCAGCTGGCATTGCTCAGGCACAGGAGGAGGAAGCTTTCAGCCTGGAGGACCAGAAAAGGCCCACAGAGGGTGGAGTCACTTCCAAGGTTGGCAGTGAGGGCGCTCCAAGCACGTCACTACACACAGGGACTATGCCAAGAGCTTGGCATTCATTGTCTGGTGTGTGTGCGTGTGTGGGTGTGTGTGCGTGTGTGCGTGTGTGTGTAGAGATTCTTGCTATAGGGCACGTGCAGAGAGACGGAGAGACAGAAAGTGAGAAATCACCCCCCGAGGGATGGTCACACTAATCTTTCTCCTCCATTCTCCTCTTGGGATTTTGAATGTGCATGCACACGCACCTGGTGTGAGTTTCAAGCTGCCAGGTCTGGGACTTGAACTGTGGGCAACCACATGGGAGTCCAGTGCCTTAATCACTATGCTACCTGCTGGTCCCATCACTATCTGTTTTAACCTCACCACAACCCAGAAGGTCAGTCCTAGTACTGACTGGTTTTGCAGATGAGGAAACCAAGGTTTGCAGTGGTTGAACAACTTTGCTGTTGGTCATTTGCAGAGTTCCAGTCAAGCAGTCTGACCCCGAACCTAACTATCTATCACAGCTCATTACAGAAAAGGGGACCAAAGGGTGAGGAGGACATTTTCTCACCCATGAAGAGGGCAAATGGTATTATAAAAGGGCATCAGTTCGCAGCTCTGACTGCATAGCAGACCCCTGCATGTATGTGTGCCCATGGCCAGCCTGGAAGCCAAGCCTGTGGGAGGATTGCCACATTGCAATCCCTTCTCCATTCTCCACCCGGGATTTTGGACACACATGCACACACATACTCAGCGTGAGTTTTAAGCCACTGGATTTGGGACTCGAACCTCAGTTGGTCATGTGGGAGTCCAACAACATAACTGCTACGCCACCTGCTGGCCCAGAAAGCTTTCTGGAGACTGGAAATTCATGGCAAAGATGTGTGGTTTGTCCAAACATCATTCCACCTCTCCTAAAATAGTGGTTTGAGACTTTTTTTTTCTTTTTTAGAGAGAGATTTTTGCTATAGGGTGCATGCGTTTGCCAGAGAGAAGAGAGAGACAGAGAGACAGAAAGAGAGAAACCACCCCCTGGGGAGATAGCCATGCTGCAATCCCTTCTCCTCCATTTTTCTCCTGGAATCTTGGGCATGCATGCACATGCACCTGGTGTGAGTTTCAGGTCCAGGATTCTAACCATGATTGGCCATGTGGGAGTCCAGCAAGGTAAGCATGATACCATCTACTGGTCCCAAGACTTATTTTTTAAAAAAATTAGCCAGAATGCAGTTTGCTCAGCAGAGAGACAGAGACAGAGACAGAGAAAGAGAGGGAGAGGTACAGGGAGATGGCATCCCCCAATGGGGTGTAGTCACACTGCAATCCCTTCTCTCTATTTCTCATCCTCTCCGGATTTGGGGCTGTTCGGCCATTTGAGTGTTAATCGACTTCTGCCTCCATAAGAGAAAGCGCATTTCATAAAGGAAGCACTCTTCCTCTCTCCCCCCTGGGGGTCTCCGTCCCAAGGATTCTGTATTCATCTGTCAGTGTACCGTTACCACATGAATGCGCGGGGCAAGGCCCCAAGTGGAGGCAGTAAGACTGCAGGTGGTCAGACCGAAAAAGCACAACTTGGACACAGGCAGGAAACGACCAATGCCAGGTACCTGGTCAGCTGGCATTGCTCAGGCACAGGAGGAGGAAGCTTTCAGCCTGGAGGACCAGAAAAGGCCCACAGAGGGTGGAGTCACTTCCAAGGTTGGCAGTGAGGGCGCTCCAAGCACGTCACTACACACAGGGACTATGCCAAGAGCTTGGCATTCATTGTCTGGTGTGTGTGCGTGTGTGGGTGTGTGTGCGTGTGTGCGTGTGTGTGTAGAGATTCTTGCTATAGGGCACGTGCAGAGAGACGGAGAGACAGAAAGTGAGAAATCACCCCCCGAGGGATGGTCACACTAATCTTTCTCCTCCATTCTCCTCTTGGGATTTTGAATGTGCATGCACACGCACCTGGTGTGAGTTTCAAGCTGCCAGGTCTGGGACTTGAACTGTGGGCAACCACATGGGAGTCCAGTGCCTTAATCACTATGCTACCTGCTGGTCCCATCACTATCTGTTTTAACCTCACCACAACCCAGAAGGTCAGTCCTAGTACTGACTGGTTTTGCAGATGAGGAAACCAAGGTTTGCAGTGGTTGAACAACTTTGCTGTTGGTCATTTGCAGAGTTCCAGTCAAGCAGTCTGACCCCGAACCTAACTATCTATCACAGCTCATTACAGAAAAGGGGACCAAAGGGTGAGGAGGACATTTTCTCACCCATGAAGAGGGCAAATGGTATTATAAAAGGGCATCAGTTCGCAGCTCTGACTGCATAGCAGACCCCTGCATGTATGTGTGCCCATGGCCAGCCTGGAAGCCAAGCCTGTGGAGTCTGCGGTGAGCACGCCATAACCAGAGGCCCATGGCTAGGGGTCAGGGTGGTCTAATGAGCTAGCAATTCAGTCTGCCAAGGGTCGTCTTCCAAGGGACCACACAAGCCCGCTTGAATAGCTCACAAGTCAGGCTGGGTGTGTAGGCACCAGCTGGAGCCAGCACAAACCTGCTGGACCACAGCAGTGTCTGATCAAGCAGGCATTCTGGCAGGAGTCCCAGCCCACTGAGTGGCTTGCCTTCTTAACTCTTGAGTATCTCACAGGAAGGAGCCAGACTGAGACCCCTGTCACTGCCCTTCCTGCCCTGGGACCCTGATAACATCTGAGATGCTTGGGTCATGGCCTGCTTGAGGCAAAGTGGGCAATAGGGAAAAGTTCCATTTTGCTTCAGAATCTCCCTGATCCCACAGCCTCTGCCCTCTCCCACCGGGCCCAGGATCGTAGGAGTCTGACATCACTGCTGTGCCCTCATTAGCTTCTTTCTCCCAGCATCCAACCCTCTGGGACCCATTGGAGTCAGAAAGAACTGTTAAAGCATGCCAAGTCTTCACTAGTGGACAGTTATATAGTAATCATAGTGGATAACCCAAATAGTTTCCTTTTAAATAAGGGGAGTGCCTAACCTCCAGGAGTAAGTCCCCAGGGGTGAGATGCAGGAACGGACAGAGAGCCAGTCAGCGGGGAGGTATTTGAGTAGGATGCATGTCCTCTTTTTCTTTCTCTTTCTTTCTGTTAATTTGCTATAGAGTGTGTACTTGCGAGACAGAGTAAAAGAGAGGGAAAACGAGAAAGCAATCCCACCCTGCTGGGGGATGGCCATGCCACAATCCCTTCTCCTCTCAGAATTTTGGGCATGCACACACACAAGCCCAGGGTGGTTTTCGGGCTGCTGGGTCTGGGACTTGAACAGTACAGTAGGCCATGTGGGATCCAGCTGCCTTAACCACCATGCCACTGGCTGGCGCAGGATGAGATTTTCTGGTGCCCCTAACGTTATGTCAAACTTCCTGGGACCCTAGCACCAAGTTCAAGTGGTTAGAGAAAATAACTATTTTGGGGAATGCTCTGGGATCTTCCTTCCTTTGCTTGCATCTCGGGGGTGCGCAATAACAGAGACTCTCTCTCCTTGGGAATCAGTGACTGTCACTTATTAGTAGAGTCGATGAGGAGCTGGGACCAGGAACCTAGACGGAGAAACGAAGACAGAAAGTGCGTCCAAGAGAGAAAGTGATGAGCACAGCGAGGCGGAGGTGATGGATGGGCCGAGAGCTGGGGAAGTGGGGACTGAGCGACTGTCGTGGCAGTGTCGGGCCATCAGATAATGTGCATTCAAGTTCCACAGCAGGGAGTTTTCGATTACACATATGTAGGACAAAAATACCAAACATTGGAAAGAAAGTGCCTCGTGGTTCCACTCAACCATCTCATTGAGACTGTGAGAAACGTAAACATGTAAGTCTATGCAGCAAATAGGTACCCTCTCGTGTCTTTACTATTACGCCTGGAGCTTGGGAAGAATGCTTGTCCATTTTGCAGATGAAGAAACGGAGGCAGGGAGAGGCCGAGTGACTTTTCTCAAGTCTACTGGTGAGTTACGAGCAGTGAGAGGTAGAATCCAGGGCCTCGGACTTTCGTGCTGCTGCCTGAGCTGGGCCGTCGACGGGGCGGGTGGCCTGGCTGGCAAGGCATGACCCATCCCCTACATGAGCATGGCCTTCCCCTGGACGTGAGGAGTGGCGTCGAACTTATTCTACATCTGGAGTGGCCAGGGCAGGGGCTGGTGCAGTGACAGTCGGGCACATTTTTATGTATACATGAGAAAGTATGGTTTGGAGACGTTTGTACAGTAGAATTCAATCTGCTGCATTTGAATCTTCATTCTGTTACCTTCTAGAAATTATGTAACCTTTTTTTTTTTAGTCTTATTTTCCATTTTATTCTAAAATAAGAATAAAACCTTCCCTGGGGTGGTGAGGATGAAGTGAGATGAAAGGTGAAGCTGGGAACATTGTGAATAGCTCGCCTCCACCCTGTGGGTGGCCAGTGCTAAAGCCTTCTTCCCCCACGGTCTAGATCAGCTCTGGAAAGGCCAGAGCCGGGCGCGGCAGGAACACACACTTACCTGCTGAGGCCGTTTTCAATGCGATCCAGGTCTCTGTCTGCGGTCTTTACCACAAGGTGGGGCAGGGAGGGGTGGGAGTACTGGGTGTTGACCTTGGCCATCCTCTTGCTCTGTCACATCCAGCCCGGGGTAGCTGCTAAAATGTGAACACAAGGCAGATACATCATGAGGATGGGGGTGCGCCAGCAGACGCAGCTCATCAAGGACAAGGGCCACTCTGGCCTCCCGGGCAAGCACTGGCACACGCATCTCCATTTTCTCTCGTAGTCCCTGCCACACTGAGATTTCGCTGGCTGTTTCTGGCTTGTCTCTCCAACCTCAGTGACAGACTAGGTCCTTCACTCCTCTGAATATGCTGAAGAGCTGCTTAGAGTTAAGTGCTGAATGAGCAAATGAAGGAAGGAAGGACACCAAGCTGGTACCTGGTGTAAGAAATGTCTACAATTCTTGGGAACCAGCAGTTAGCGTAATGGCTATGTCGCTGGACTCCCACGTAGTCGACCGCGGTTTGCATCCCGGACCCGGTGGCTTAAAACTCACGCCGGGCGCATGTGCGTGTGTGCCCAAGATCCCGAGAGGAGAATGGAGGAGAAGGGATTGCGGCGTGGTCATCCCCCCTGGGGGGTGATTTCTCACTTTCTGTCTCTATGTCTCTGTCTGTCTGGTAGCCAAAAACTTCTCAAAAAAAAAAAAAAAAAGAAGTACTTATTTTATTTATTATTATCATCATTATTATCATCATTATTATTATTAACTTGCTATAGTCACCAGAGAGAGAGGGAAAGTGAGAAAGCAAGCTGCCAGGTCCAGGACTTGAACCCCAGTCAGCCATGTGGGAGTCCAGCATCCCAACCACCACACCACCTGCTTGTCCTCTTGTTTCTTTATTTTTATTTTATAACTGAACATATGTTTTAGTAGCTCCCACAAATCCTGTTTGGAAACGAAGTATACAAAATTACTACCTATACTTGACATTCATAAAACCTGATGCTAAGCCTAATGCATACTTTATCTCGTTTATAACAACCTTGTGAGATATTTATGATTTTTATCCCCAGTTACGGGTGACCAAACTGAGACACAGCTTTTTTTTGTTTTGTTATTTATTATTACTTTATTATTTTATTATTATTTTGTTTTTTTGCTATAGAGGTGCATGTGCTCAAGGGAGAGAGACGGTGAGAGGGAAAGTGAGAAATCACCCCTTGGGAGGATAGCCACACCGCAGTCCCCTCTCCTCCTGGGATTTTGGGTATGCACGTACACATACTGGTGTGATTTTCAAGCCACCAGGTCCTAGACTCGAACTACGTGCATCTGACCATGTGAGAGTCTAGCACCATAACCACCACACCACCTGCTTGCCCTGAGATTCAGAGATGTTAAGAAGCTTGTCCAACCAAACAACTCGATACACATTCTATCCATGTTCGTGGTCTGATTTCTGCACAAGGGTCATGATCAAACCATGAACACACCCTTCAGCACGCTTAGAAAGTGCCCCTGAGACCAAAGAGAAAGACAGCTGCATGAGGCCAGGGCTGGTGCGATTGGCTGGCTCCGTGATTTCCTGCCAGCTCTCCCAGCTGGAAGGCGAATTCCAGAGCATACCTTCTCTACACAGACAAGCACAGGCTGTCCTGAGCAGCCACACGGCTTAAGTATGTCCCCAACGTCAGTGGAGACCACTCCAGAGAAAGATGGCAACTCCTTCATAGAAGCAGCCCAGTGACTCACTCCAGGACGCCATTAACGCGATATCCAAAGGCAGGTCAGTGCACGGAGCCCAGAGCCCTGCACCAAAGCAGCCCCCACTGTGCACGCCCTGCTCTGCCAGGTCAGCGCACCATGAGCCACTCAGCCTGGCTCACCGGGTTCTGACTCAGCTCTGACGTGTAATGGTTCAAGTCCCTGACTTTACATTCTATCATGTTCTCGATAGACAAAATTATTTTGATCTTAAAACACTTTATTCATTTATATAAAGTGAGTTTCTGGCTGATCGCAGGGGATCGATGAGAACGAAGACAAGGCCTGTTCTTAAGGATCTTACGGTCTTGAGGGGAAAGTGACTGGCCAGGCCTGGAAGGCGCTGGACTCTCACCTGGCTGACTGCTGTTCAAGTCCTGGATCTGGCAGCTTGAAAAATCATGCTGGGCATGTATGCATGTGTGCTCAAAATCCCAAGAGGAGAAGGGATTGTAGTGTGGTTCTCTCCCCTGGGTAGTGATTTATTGCTTTCTGTCTCCCTGTCTGTCTGTCTCTTTCTGGTGAGTGTGGGCACCTATAGCATTTTTTTTTTTTAAAAAAAAAATGCCTGCCACAGCATCTCAGAGGAGAAACAATGGTTGCCTGAGCTAGGTTTGTGGTAGTGAAGTGAACAAATCCAAAATCTACCCAATGGTGGACTGCTGGCAAGGCTGACTTGGGGTGGGTGGGGGGCGGTGGGACCAGGTGCCACCCACTCACCCCTGAGACAGGGGACCAAGGTGAGGAGTGGGTTGGAGGAAGAGAATGATTCTGGTTTGAGATGTCCGTAGACACTTAAACCATCATAGGAAATAACAGTTTTACACTAAAAGCCCAATTTTTCTTTTAACAATGTAGTTTTTATCAGGAGAACAGTGTTGAGGTAGGGTATCATTAAAGGGAAA